ATGAAGAGGTAAGAGAAAATATGATTGATGGTTAGGAGACAGCCTACAAATGCTGGTTTTATCCACAGATCAAGAGACAACTGACATATAAAGGGAATAAAAGGAGGAAAAGTAAAACAATCTATGTTTCCAAGTAGGATTTGCCCATACACTTTGAAGCTGCTGAGGGAGACAGACAAGCAGTAATACAGTATATTTTACACTTGCTGTGCCAGAGTGGGAATGGGAGATAGCCTGGTTATTGAATCTAGTGCGAAACTAGGTTTAGTTTGCTGCTGTATCTAGCTATTAGCTACTGCCAGTGGCGTACATACCAGGGTCGCAGGGGTCGCGGCTGCGACCGGGCCCGGCCCACCAGCGGGCCCGGCCGCCCCTGCGACCCGGTATGTAGCCACAGGGCCAGCCTCTTCCCTCGCGCGCCCGCCTACCTGCCCGACCGGCCACCTGCCCAGGAGCCCAGCAGCACCACTGGACCCCAGGGAATCCCCCCAGCACTCCGAAAGGTAAGGAGGCTGGGGGGATTAATTTAAAAAAAAAAATGTGTGTTAGTGTATGTGTGTGTTAGTGTATGTGTGTTAGTGTGTGTTAGTGTATGTGTGTTAGTGTGTGTGTGTGTGTGTGTGTTAGTGTATGTGTGTGTTAGTGTGTGTTAGTGTATGTGTGTGTGTGTGTTAGTGTATGTGTGTGTTAGTGTGTGTGTGTTAGTGTGTGTGTGTGTTAGTGTGTGTGTGTGTTAGTGTGTGTGTGTTAGTGTATGTGTGTGTTAGTGTGTGTTAGTGTATGTGTGTGTTAGTGTATGTGTGTTAGTGTGTGTTAGTGTAGGTGTGTGTTAGTGTGTGTTAGTGTATGTGTGTGTTTGTGTGTTAGTGTATGTGTGTGTGTTAGTGTGTGTTAGTGTATTAGTGTGTGTTAGTGTGTGTGTGTTAGTGTGTGTTAGTGTGTGTGTCAGTGTTTGTTTGTGTTAGTGCGTGTGTTAGTGTGTGTGTCAGTGAATGTGTCTGTTATTGGGTGTGTGTCTGCTAGTGAGTGTGTTACTGTGTGTGCCTGTTACTGAGTGTGTTTGATGTCTGTTAGTGAGTGTGTGTTTGTCAGTGAAAGTGTATGTTTTGTAAGTGAGTGTGTATGTATGTCAGTCGCTGAGTGTGTCTCTGTCAGTAAATGTGTGTGTCTGTTAGCTAGTGTGTATGCGTCTGTTCGTGAGAGTGTGTGTGTGTGTCTTCAGCATTTACCTTTCTCCAGCGTCGGACTCCCCAGTGTCCGCCTCTCAGCTCCGAAATGCACATGCGCGGCAAGAGGTGCGCACGCATTTAAACCGCCCATAGGAAAACATTACTCAATGCTTTCCTATGGACGTTCAGTGTCGCGGAAGCTCCTCTAGCAGCTATCAATGAGACAGCCACCAGAGGCTGGATTAACCCTCAGTGAAACATAGCCATTTCTCTAAAACGGCTATGTTTTCAGCTGCAGGGTTAAAACTAGAGGGTCCTGGCACCCAGACCACTTCATTGAGCTGATGTGATCTGGGTGTCTGTAGTGGTCCTTTAAGTGTGTGTGCATACCGCGGTCGCGGGGTTGCAGCCCTGCAACCCCTGCGACCAGGTGCCCGCCACCATGTGTTGCGACCCCGACCCGCACCGAGTAAGCGCGGGGGGGCCCACGGATCAATTTTTGCACCGGGGCCCCATGGGTCATGTGTACGCCACTGGCTACTGCCAGGGGTAATTGAAACAACTTTGAGTGGAAGATAGGAGATTTACATTTTACATGTTTCCTACAGACTAGGTTCCCAATACACAGAGAAGTACCAATTTTTTTAAGTAAAATGTTTGAAGAAAGAAAATCCTTTTTTTTTTTTTTTTTTTTAGTGCAGTGCGTTTTATGCAGTGTTTCTTAACATTAAACACAATAATGTTACAGTAAATCCACTAACCACCAGCCTGTTTTGCAACACCTATTTTGGCTGAATAAATTTGTGTTAGTTTGCACAATAAAAAATCATTTATATATCAAGGCTATTTTAATAAGAAAAACAAACCCATCATCATCAATCTTATGTCCTAATCCCAAGAACAAATTGAGGATGGGTAAGGGAAGAGGTTGTGTTGTCCAACCCACCATCATCAGAAGTGCCACAGCCGCTAAGAGTCTGAAGACCTCTATATCGGCCATGAGGACGGCCAACAGCACTGTCACTGCCACATCCACCATCACTGTTAGTAGTATTGAGAAGAAACACAAATGTACCCTATGAAATGGGACTTGGTTATGGACCCCTCAAAACTCTGACATAACCCAAAGATAGACTTATGTAAAAAAGGGGGTAGTTACTCACCAAATCAAGTGACTTGAGAGTGTCTCATTTATTCATAAATATGTAAAGAAAAATTAAAACCAACAATCTTTATTGAATTGAAGAAACAATTCAAATCATGAAGTGTAACAGATGTGAAATTAATTATCTTAGGCAAAAAGATATAAAAGATTGTAAAAAACATATATAGACCATAATCTGATAGTATTCAGTATTTTATAAATATTTAGTATTCTGTATTAGGTCGGGTTTAATTAATAAGCAGATGGTGTAATAGGTCTATATTTTGCCAGCATGTAAATGCCCAAACCAATGATAATGTCCAGTGCTTTTGGAGAACCAAATAGTCCCTACGCAATGTAGGAGTTAAATCAGTTTGTTTACACAGCCTTAGTCCCACTTCTCTGCAAGTAACGTGCACAGCCTTGCAGCCTTGCCTTCCTATAAATAGAGATGCGAGATGTACACTTGCTTTATTGCAGAGTCAGTTTAATTTAGAATTTCTTATCTCCTGCTCTGATAATAGCTTGCTAGCCCTGTAGGAGCCTCCTGTGTGTGAATTAAGTTTAATTTACAGAGCAGGAGATAAAATCTTCTACAGTAAGTTAATATCTGAAAATGAAACCATGATGTTCATGCAGGCTGTGTCAGTAACAGCCAGTAGTGGTGTGGCTAGGGCTGCATAAACAGAAACAAAAGTGATTTAACTCCTAACTGGCAGAGAATTAAGTCGTGAAACTGCAGGGTCATGATCTATACACCAGAACTGCTTCATTAAGCTAAAGTTGTTTGAGTGACTATAGTGTCCCTCCCTTAAGGACCAAACTTCTGGAATAAAAGGGAATCATGACATGTCACACATGTCATGTGTCCTTAAGGGGTTAAAGTCCTATTGCGGGCAACTGCCTTCCCTCTACCAAAAAATGCCTTAGGTGCTATTTAAGTCCTGCACAAGTCTAGCTTGCATTACTGTTTAGCAGTACTTTTAAAGTGTATTGAGGGAACATTTCAAGCACCTTAACCACTACTGATGCTCTTGGCCGATGAGCTGTCCCTTCTGTTCAGTATGAGAGAAATTAGAGGCAGATTAACATTGCCAATCCTGCATAACAACAAAGTTTTCAGCTGCAGGATTAAAACCTACCTCGGCATGGTCTCCACTATGCACTGAAGTGGTTGTGGTGTTAGGAGTGCCTGGCAACTGGTAACCCGCCCTCCCCCCATTGTAAGTAGTCAAACTATTTTAGAACGATCAGTCGATCTCCCGAGCCACAACTGTCCTAATTCTAGTGCGGTACTCCAGATTCAGGCTCCTGAGCCTCCATATTGGGTTTCTTCCTTGGTGTCCACCAAGAAGACTAATCACAGAAACTGGAAGACGAGCACATTAATAGATGCACGCTCTATTGGGGCCATTAATGGTGTGCTGTAAATGTCAGGCTTGAAGTTTGGCAGTACTCAGTGAGGTGAATGAATGGTAAATGTGTCCAAGACAAACAATACAGAAAGGGTCATGCAAAGGCAAGATCAAGATAAGTCCACGGGTTCATAAACTCAGGCAGTAAAGGTTCAGGAATGGCAAGAAAAGCCAACAGTGGACTATCAAGATAAACATTATATGAGGTAGCCAAGAGTTCACAGAATAACTGAGCAATGGTTGCAATGATAGCCCAGCTGGTCTGTCTTTAAATAGGGTGCCTGTCAGAAGCCACGCCCTGTTTGACACCCCCGTACTGCCTCGGTAGCATGGAGGCTATCTGGAAGCTTGGGGTTGCTGGGGGAACCAAGCCTGAAATTCACAAAATTTGGCAAAAGGTGGGTTTTCTGCCGAAACGCTTTGTCAATTCTCACAGCTGCTGCTAATGACAGCTATAGGAATCTGGTATTTTGAAATTGAGTCTATGGAGGATGCGCATAAGTACATTAATGACTGGGTTCTGCCGGGTGAAGTGTCAGGAGCTTTCTAAATTATTTATTTCAGTGAGCGGCCAGTGATAGGCTGAGATCAACACTGGTGTCCAAGGGAAAGGCATTGTAGAAGGAGGCAAAGGGGCCTGAGTGTAAGGTTAGATGATCCCCAGGACCTCCAGATACTATAATGACTTAATTGATTTTTAAAACATATTAACCAGTCTTCATCCCGTTGTACAGCGCTGCGGAATTTGTTGGCGCTTTATAAATAATAATAGGTAAACACAATAAACAACTACATAAAAGCATAGTCTATATATGCCCAAAGAGCAATCCGTTTCTTCCCTTTCTTTCCCTCTGTAGAGGTTATGGCACACTTCCAGGGTCAGTAGTCAAACTGTTAATGGAGAGCTTCCAGCTGCACAAAATTAGATGGCCGGGTACTGGGAACCGCCAATTGTGCAGCCATGAACTCTGTGCACTGCAGGTGTTAGCTCACTGGCTGAGAGTGCTCAGCAGACACTCTAATTCAATAAATCAGCCCAACACAGTTGGGATTAGCTCAGTGGAACTAATGAAAGCGCCTTACAAGAGCGTCTAGCTCCACAGACAGCGGGGCCTGGCTATTAACTTGAAGATTGCAGTTTAGTTTTCAGTTCACTTTAATTCAGAATTGAGTGAATTAACAAAAAAACAAGAGTCAAAAAGAAGGTTAAAATAAATCCTCCCACCACGTGGTGGCAGCATCCATATTTGTTGCTGCCTCCACTGTCACAGGGGTGTCTTCTTATTTCACCTATGATGCCTCTCGGCCCGGCCGCTGCCTACTTACCGCGCATGCGCACTGCGTACGGCCTTTTCCCAGCGCTCCAGCGCCCTTACGTTTGCGCTGTGACTCTCCGGTCCTATACTCAACGGGACAAAACACGGCGAAATGGTCAGTAACCGGGGGGCAATATCACCGCCAATCAGTGTCCCATCTCCCCCTGCACCGCGCACACCGCGTTACGGCCGGTGGCAGGCGGATTGCAGTCCGGATGGTGGTGGATTGTGAAAGTGTCTGAGGCTGAGCCGTACCTTCCAGCGTGGCCTAATGGCTGCTGCAGGCTCTGGCTGGCCGGCCTGCTCCTTCCTGGAGGATCACACAGGCTGCCTGCTGGTCTAGGCTGCTGGCACTGTATGAGGGGCTTCTGGGGGAACAATAACATCTTTATTTATAAAGAAATTACAGTGTTTGTGTGAGATCAGTGACCCCTTGAATAATACTGTGTGTTGGCATTTATTTTCCTATATTCACCTATGTTCTATTTCTACATAAAGTCAGTCATTCTAGAACAATTATCAGTAAAATTAATGCTTTATTTTTTTTTAGATAAAAATCACTGTTTTTGCAACTTCCTGTACTGTAAATATTTAAGATGGGTGGTCTGGTGGGGTCTGTTTGTTCCATATCGATCATGTTGGTGTCTAACAGGAGTAGTGGTATAGGATGCGCTATGTGTGTGTGTGTGTGTGTGTGTGTGTATATATATATATATATATATATATATATATATATATATATATATATATATATATATATATATATTTTTTGGGTCCTAACTCTGGGTCAGTGATCGATGAGCGACCCGTATGTCAATGCTATAAACTAGAATTATTGAGCTTAGTGCCATGTGATCGATTTGTAGGAAGCTTGCAGTATATTGGTGAGTCTTTTTAATTAACCACTTCTGATGTCAATTCTCTGTAACTTTTATTTTGTTAGGGGTTCGTAAAAGTTGTTAAAAACAAGGCCTACTTCAAGAGATACCAAGTCAAGTTTCGCAGAAGGAGAGGTGAGGGATTTTGGTCTCAACAGATCTGTGTGTGTGTATATAAAAAATTTTTTTTTAAAACTTTAATTTGTTTGCATGTGCAAATCCAAACACACTCTCATCCCTTATTCTAGAGGGCAAGACCGATTACTATGCTCGCAAACGATTGGTCATCCAGGATAAGAATAAGTACAATACTCCTAAATACAGGATGATTGTGCGTGTCACCAACAGAGACATCATCTGCCAGGTAAGAAGCATGTGGATGGCATTTAAAAGTTGAGATGCACATCAGGCCGCTGCTTTACTTTTTAAAAGTTTTTAAAATGGGTTAAACTGTCTTCCAGTTACTGAACTTTGTGATATTACTTTCTAGGATGGTAAGTGTAGAGAAATGCTTCCCAGAACTCTACATATTCTTATCAACGGTCTTTAACCAGCACTGAGCAGGAAGACTGCTGTGATTAGCATGTGTCTATGTACTGGAAGCTCCCCACTCTGCGAGAGACAGACCATGTCTAGACAATCTTAAATTCTAATAGCATAGGGGGACTAACAGATACTGCTATATGGTTGTCAATGCAAAAAGCTTTAGGAATGAAAAGAATTTAGATTTATTTTTTTGTAGCTGTTTTAAACAAAAAACACTTGGAGGCTGGCGCACCATAAAGTGTTCGCTATCCATATGTCTATCACTTGCTGTCATACTGAAATGGCATGACCATGAGGAAGCATGTTTCATTCTGGGATTGTGGCACAGTGAACGTGCATTCATTCCTCTTTTGTTGTTACCCTAGATGCTAATGAAATACAGATGTAAGCAACAAACCTCAAGAGTCTGTTCCTGCCTTGACTTATAGTGAAAACTGATAAGTGCCTGGTGTGGATTAATATAGCAAAGATGCTAGTACTTGATTTGTTGATAATTTAACTTCTTATTTAAAAGTAAACAAGCACATATTTATCGAAGTGGATCCCGTTTTCTCCTGAATCGTTTAACCGTACAATTTAAACCTCTATAAACAATTACTTTAGTATTGGGAATACAAAGATGTGTTGATTGCCACTGTGCCGAGGTCACTTGGTGCTGGGTCGCAGTTTGTTTCCTCTGACGGGGGACCTAAAGCGCTTGCTGCATTTGCGTTAAGACTTAATCATAGGAAAGCATTGCCTCAATGCTTTTCTATGGCGCTGGTCATTTTCATGCAAAGTGTGGATGCAAAACCTTAAGCGTCTCTAGTGTCTATTTGGTAGACAGCCACTAGTAGCAGTCTTAGTACTGCAATATAAACATTGCAGTTTTTCTAAAACAGCAATGTATTGCAGGACAAGGGGAGGGAGAAGACCGGGATAGTGCACAGAGACCACTTCAATGAGATAAAGTGGTCTGGGTTCTGATAGTGTCCCCCTAAGGATATATGGAATCCCAGTGACTAGAGCGATGAGTGTTTCATGTATCTTACTCCAGAATCTTAACGGTTATTTTGCTTCTAAATAACTCATTGTATCTCCATGAGTTGATGAGTGTTTTGGCACTTTTTACAATTTGCTCCATTCACTTTGTCAAAATTTATGGATTCTCACATATTGATGCGTCTGAAGTGGCACTCTAAGACGTTTTGAGACTTTACTGTCTACTAAAGCAAATTAGAGCTGTGGAGAGGGGCAAAAGTAATGTCATGCTTGTTATCTAGTCAAAATAAATCTGCAATTAAAACTGTGCACCAGGGAATGCCTGGGTTAGAATTAAAGGGACACTAGATAATACAGCTGGGGGTAGTTACATTGAGCTGTCTCATCTGGGAGCCTGCAATTTAGCACTCATAAAAAGTGCAGATTTGCCTGGAAAGCCAAGTGAAATGCTTTAGGTGCTTGGAGTTTTCCTTTTGAAGGAACATTTTAGGGTAAGGAATACAAACTCTTATTCGTAACCCTATAGTGCTGGAGTGCCATTTTAGCTTGCCATCAGATTGGAGATAAAGGGTAGTCTACCTTTTCTTCATTACTATGCTGATCATGTTGTGGCTGGCCCTTGACTCCATGGCTGAGGACACCAATCTTGGTGATCTCAGCCAGTCCAGTGCTTTCCCATAGGTATAGGAAACACCTCTAGTGGCTGTCTGAGTAAAAAGACAGTGTTGACGTTACTGAGCATGCAGTGACCGGTGCTATGCACCAGAGCCAATACTTTAGGCTGTGGTTCGGGTGATTTTAAGCGAACACTAAAGCCCCCCATGATGTCACGGAAGAGAAGGCAACACTCATTAAGTGTGTTCAGGTTGTGGTTGCTTTTTGTGTGGTTATCTATTGCAGTGAATGGTGTCTTTTTAAGGCTGACCTGTAAATCCTTGAATAGCACTCATCTACTGCAAAAGGTAAAATACACTAGTACTGCTTTCTTACTATAAAGTTCCTTCATGCAGCATATGAATTCTATATTGTAGCATTCTTTGGAAGTGCCCTGTCTAGGAAACCATGGTATAGCATTGAGGTAGCCAGATGTATACCGTTAGTTACACGTCAAACCATACAACTCATACTTTATTTGTAAAACTGATTTCTTTGAGCTTTGTTGAAAGTAACAAAGGCCCATAATTTTATGGCAACAAAGAATAAAGTCCTTGTTTGTTAAACTGGTCAGTGAAATGACTTATGGTGTCTTCTGTTCTAGAATGGTTTATCCCCAAAGTTGCCTCCAGCGGTGATGTCCAGTCCACACCATGCGGCATTCAGCTGGGCGGGGGTGCAGCTAATTGGCTGAGAGCGGTCAGCTGAGGATCTCAGCCAATCAGTCATTGTCAATTCACTAAACTGGCTTGAAAAAAGTTTTTTTCCAAGCCAGTTTATTAAAGGACCACTCTAGGCACCCAGACCACTTCAGCTTAATGAGGCGGTCTGGGTGCCTGGTTCAGCTAGGGTTAACCCATTTTTTTCATAAACATAGCAGTTTCAGAGAAACTGCTATGTTTATGAATGGGTTAAGCCTTCCCCTATTTCCTCTAGCGGCTGCCTCATTGACAGCCGCTAGAGGCGCTTGCGTGCTTCTCACTGTGATTTTTCACAGTGAGAGCACGCCAGCGTCCATAGGAAAGCATTGTGAATGCTTTCCTATGCAACCGGCTGCGCGCAGCTCTTGCCGCGCGTGCGCATTCAGCTGCATGGGAGGCGAAGAGGAGGATCGGAGGAGAGCTCCCCGCCCAGCGCTGGAAAAAGGTAAGTTTTAACCCCTTTCCAGAGCCGGGTGGGGGCCATAAACGAGTGTTTTCCTGGCACTATAGTGGTCCTTTAAATGGGAGGAGTCAGCTGAGAGAATTCGCTGACTGCTTTCAACCAATCAGCGGCACCCCACGCATCTTAAATCTGAAGATTCAGAAGCCGGATGACGCCTGGGGGAATGGGCACCGCCACTGGAGGCAATTTGTGAGGTTAAACTGTTTAACCCCCTTCAGGTAAGAGTGCCTTAAGGGGCATCCTGGCACTATAAGTTGTTATGGTGCCTGAGTGTCCTTTTAAGTGAAAATGCAAAGTGGATTAAATTTCAACTTTCATGCCAAAGTAGCCGAACTGGCAGCATAGACTTGGTGATTTATTTTTTCCTTATTCAGATATATTGGTCTTAAATCTGAAATGCACTTTATTTTCTCACTTTTGTAAATAACCCTGCTAGTCCTAGTTTTGTTTGTGTTGAGTTTTGTGAACAGCCCTAATGTAATTTTTATCAGATAAAATTCTTTGGTTTATTCATTTAGCTACTGGTAGCATGTTCCAAACTCATTGAATTTCAGAGATGGTTGTTTACGTTTAGTGTGACCTAAACGTACCATAAGCCGTATTACTTCTGATTTAATATTATGTTTTCTCTTCTCTTACAGATTGCATACGCCAGAATCGAAGGAGACATAATTGTTTGTGCTGCTTATTCTCATGAGCTTCCTAAATACGGCATCAAATGTGGCCTGACAAATTATGCTGCAGCTTATTGCACAGGCCTGCTGCTGGCTCGCAGGGTATGTAAGCATGCTGACTGATATGGTCAGATCCTACAATTCTGGGCTGCTTTTCCTACTAATCTTCACGGTTTGTTCTTCAAAATGCTGCACAATGATTTTTCCTCCATGTCTCTATGGCATTATCAAAGATGTATTTTTGTTTAATTTCTTTGGGGGAGTGCATTTTTCTTTTTAAATTATTCAACAACAATCTGTTAGGTTTATTTAGAGTGCCTCAAAGTGGTTTTTATCTGATATTTGTTGCAAGACTTTTAATGCCCTTGGATATTGTCCCTTTTTTTTTTAATTTTTTTTTTTTTTTTATATATTCCAGAATTTCACTCTAGTTTTGTGTATGTGGCAGTTATTAATCGCAATAGATAAATAGCATATGGTTTATTTCTATCTCTGTAAAGGTAATTAAAACATTACAGCCCCATTTTTGAAGTCAAGACTAGTCAATTCAGTGGTGTAAACAGGATAGCCTTGTTTATAAACTAGTATAATAGAGATACTATATGAACCATAACCTTTAAATCTGCCACCCACACCTGCAAAATTAGTATTTCGTAAAGAGATAATTTTTCTGAAATACTCATATTGGCAGTATTGGAATTTCACTGAAATTCCAACAAAGTCAAAAGATATACTGAGACAAAGTAGGGACTATTTGTCTAAATTTTTCTTTCGCCTGGTACTTTTTGACGCTGGGTTATGTTATCGCAGTCTAGAAATGACGATTTCCCCCAGCTGTCACCAGTGACTGCTGCAGGGAAATTAGCTCTGTCTATCGAGGATTTCACAGGATGTTACATAGACCTCTGCACGTGCGAGAGAACGCTAGTGCTGTCAGCTTTTTGCAGCTGAAGTGCCAGGAGCAGAAGAGGACCTGCCATAAGCGAAAGACAGCACTTTGCAGGAATAGTTTAAGGCAAGTAGAAGTTGCCTTTCCCTGCTCCTCTTGGCCACCGGATGCCCAGCAGTAATCTTGGAGTCAGGGGTCTTTGCAAATTATGCAGACTACTCAGACGGTAGCAGTAAAATACCAAGAACTAATCTCATTCAACTGATCAATACATTAGGTGCAATCGGGCCATGTGCTAGCACAAACTCCATGTAAGATACAAATGGAGCTCCAGGCACTCCAATTCTCAAAAGGGCATAACTGTGTAACCAGCACCAATGTTTCAACTTTCAACCCAGATGGCTCTTCCTCAAGTTTAAGAATCTAATTTGAGTAGAAACACATTGCTGCTGGTTACACTGTGATCCCAATAAATATACCCTTTTGAGCACTGAGTGCCTGGATCTAATTTTTTCCACTTAACTAAATTCAACTGTTTAAACAGTGAAGGAGTTTAAGCATGCATGGGATAGGCATAAGGCTATCCTAGCTATAAGATAAGGCCAGGGACTAATGAAAGTATTTAGAAAATTGGGCAGACTAGATGGGCCGAATGGTTCTTATCTGCCGTCACGTTCTATGTTTAAAGCAGCACTGTCACTATCTGAGGAGTTGTGTGGAGTTTGTCTCTACCTCATTAGCTGAAACTAGCTGGTAGATCAGGGCTTTGCAGACTTGCCATCACAGGTAAATGCCATGTGGTTCCTCCTTGTGGAATGTAGGACTTGTCAGAGCCTATAGATTTTCCAGAAACCACTCGACTGAGCAGTGATTCGCTTTTAATCCCTTATTTCTTTGCTCTAGCTTTCTTCGTGAATCGGTAGATGGGTCAAGTAGAAGTTCTCTGAATTTTCTTATATTTTCTTCTGGTTTAGGTGGCTTTTTTGATCAGATTAATGCTCATTTGAGACATGGTCAAAATGTTCGTTTTCTTCAACTGTTAGGCCAGTTCTGAACATGGTTAATGCAGGCACTAAACTCCCCTTGATCATTAGCCAGAATGTAGGTTGACTATCACAGGAAATGTGCATTAAGCACCTGCAGTTGCAAATTGTCCTTATGGTTCCAGGTTCTGAGGTCATATCAGGGCTTACAATATGAAGTTCTTTTCTTTGCTATTTGCAGGGCATTAAATTATTTGCCATTGCATACTTACCAGGTATGAATTTCTACTTGCCAATGGCTAGCTTATATTCTGGAATCCCCACTACGTCTGATCTCATCTGTCATGCACGCCCTTTTTTTTCTAGGACTTACATTTTTTTTTTTTTTTTTTTCTAGGCATACATTTTGTTTTCTATTCTGACTCCTCCCACTACCCATCTTCTGTCTGTCTCCCCTACACACACCCGACGATTCAGTGTGAGATCTATACATATATATCGGGAATGGAAGTTATAATTACCTTCTTTATAAGGTCTCTATTCTTCCCATGGTCCAAATATTCTGATACTGGAATAAGTCTGATTTACCAAAACATTTCCCCTATTAAACTGATATTTTTTATCTTTTTTATTTTTTTTGTCTGCCTTTTTCTTGTGGTGAGGCTGACAATTATGCCTATTGATGTTCAGTTCTTTTCTTTTATGTTGTATTGTGCTATGATGGCTGGCTATCAATCTGAGAAAACTGTGTGGGAGCAGAGAATTGAGTGGGGGAAATGTCCTCATAGTTATGGGATCCTTTAGAACTGGCTAGCTATTTGCTGTAATAGAAGGCTAAAATTGGCTTGAGCAATTATAACAATCTTGCTAATCTTTGCCTCTTCTAGCTCCTTAACAAATTCGGCCTTGACAAAGTCTACGAGGGTCAGGTGGAAGTAACTGGCGACGAATACAACGTGGAGAGCATTGATGGTCAACCTGGCGCCTTCACTTGCTACTTGGATGCTGGTCTCACACGAACCACCACTGGAAACAGAGTCTTTGGCGCTCTGAAGGGGGCTGTGGATGGAGGCTTGTCCATTCCTCATAGGTTAGAAATTCTCTTTAGAATCTTAAATATATTTGTCAGTTTAGCTTCATTGAGCTTTGCAGGACTGTACAGGGACAGCTCTCTTCCAAGGAGTGTGATCCTGGATTACCAGCTTAGTTCAGTAAAGGCACCTGGCAGGAGAAGCTGGATGTGGAGCAGGTACCCAGGCCCTTTTAAAGTTTTTTTTTTCTAAAACCATTACAACTTGGCACGATCTTAACCGCAAATAGGCTTGGTGCCAGGATGCCCTAATTGTTAAACTACCACGCATACCAGAGGGACTTCACCCAAAAACCAAAATGTGTATCACTATGTGGGGGCTGCTCAACCACCCGAATAGCAATGTGCACCCCAGTCCTGTTCTGACTGAACACGTAAAATTAGAAACTGGACAGCTGTGTTATCAGTCCTTTATTCTGCCTATATGCTGTCTCAGTGCTGCACGTGGATCACATGGACATGTTAATACCACATGGTCTGCCATTCTAGGCCTCAATTCCCCTGCTTTACTTTACCGGTACAGGGGTGGTCCAACAGAGTAAAGGGGCATGTCCTCCAACACAGAGTACCGGGGTGGTCCAGTTGACTTTCTGAGTGTGTCAGAAATTTGTTTAATTTACATTTTTGAGATAATAGCACGTTAAAAGTTAAGCTTTTTAAGAATTGAAGACATAACTGACAAACTGAGCTGGCTCGTAGGAAACCACTCCTTTTTTTGTAAATAAAATTGTATAAACCAGTTGAGGAAGAATAAGCGCTTATTTCCGCGTAGTAAAGTTAAAAACCTGTAACTGCTGAAATAGCCAGGTGATTTGACATAGAGACAATAAAGTTGAGAAGATACTGGTCACACTATATCTTTTATTGTGGATGTTTGGGAGGTCCGTTGAACTAGTTTTCTGATTGGTGTTCAGCTGCTAGATGATGATCCGTAGTGTCTGAGCATACTGTAGTTGGTCCTCTGTTTGCTTTTGATGTAACCCTATTGTTTCAAGACGGGACTGATAGCAGCCTCATTCTCTTGGTTGGTGGAGCAGAGTTGCAGGCAGTAAAAATGTGTAGTGTATGAGTGAATGCGGAAGAATCTCTCACGAAGGGGCTACATGATTGTTGAGCTTACGTTTTTCTTTTTTTCTTAGTACGAAGCGTTTTCCTGGCTACGACTCTGAAAGCAAAGAGTTCAACGCCGAGGTTCACCGCAAGCACATTCTGGGCCAGAATGTAGCGGAGTACATGCATCTTCTGATAGAGGAAGATGAGGACGCCTACAAAAAACAGTTCTCACAATACATTAAGAACGGCATCACCCATGACCAGGTAAGGCCTTCTTTGTGGGAAGGGGGAGTGATCTATATGCAGTGTTTTTTAGGTGGGCTGATATAGCAATTTCAGACAAAATTTAAAAACTAGCACGTATTTGTAGTGTACTTATTGTAAGTTTGCTTGATTAGGGCTGTTTTCACGTATAACATGCATTCTTTCGTTGTAAAGCCCTGCGGACTATGTTGCCGCTTTCTTGATATTTACCTCTTTTCTAGGTAGCTATTTGAGTGTTGATGAAACGCGTCGTGTGACTTGAGGGTTTGCTTTACAGCTTGTGTTTAATGGCCTATTATTGAGAAAAAGGCAAACACAGATTTGAAAACCATGCACATGGCAATGTAATGGCATGAGATATCACTGGGGAAAAAGCTTGAGTACACACTTTTTTTTTTTTTTTTTTTTAACATTTTGTAGTCTTCTACATGAGAACGTCAAGAATGGGTTTTTTTTTGTTTTTTTTTTGTACCACAGACTTTAAATGAGAAATTGTTTAATTTTTTTTTTTTTAAATCTACACACATTTTAATCCATAATGTAAAATGAATGAGTGACAGAAGTCTCATGGAAATTCCTATAGATCACAGGTGGGCAATCTGCAGCCCTCCAGATGTTTTGGACAACATCTCCCATAATGCTCTTAGGGCCATAATGCTAGCAGAGCATCAAGGGAGATGTAGTCCAAAACATTGTATTCCTAGCGCTATAGTATACCTTTCAGTACCAGTGTAGATATTAATAAAACCTAGCCGCTCTTGTATGACTCCTTGTTTAACCCTTCATAGAACAAATATTGTATTATGGAATACTAACAGTTTTTTATGGTGTGATGTATACACCTCTCAAATGCTAAATTGGAACAACTGCTGCTAAACAAGCTGGACATGGCACACTGTCTTCAGGGACCACATTGGGATAATGGCAAAAGATAACAGATTCTCAAGGGGATGATTTTTATTTACAAGAAGTAGACTGCCTCGTATGTTAATGCGGTGTCTCCAGAGTTAATCTAGCATTCTGTCAAGATGCAGTGGCAGCATAACTTGAAACCAGCTTTAACATTTATTATGTGATATTACAAAAAAATTATCAAATATAGTTTATTGTATCAATACAATGTCTTGTGGAAATCTCAATATATCCTTCCTGTTAAATATTTTATAAAGTAATGAGTATTGAAACCTGATAAGACATCTATGGCTGTTTCTAACAGGTTGAGGACTTGTACAAGAAAGCACATGCAGCCATCCGAGAAAATCCAGTGCACGAAAAGAAGCCCCCGAGAGAAGTTAAAAAGAAGAGGTATGTCTTTATGTTTTTGTGACTTTTTTGCTAGTGGGTTTAAGTCTTGGTGTGGAGGTATGGCTAATGGCTGTGTAGTGTGAAAGCCTGGTCTACCTAGAAATGTGTAGACTGTAACACTATAGTGTTAGCAGTATATTTGTGTTCCTTTAAGTTTTTCGGCATGTAGTTCTCAGAACCTGCTGCTTCTCCATGGCCATCTTCAGGAAATACAATCTGTAAATTACACCTTGTTCTCAATTCATTGAAATACCATTGCTGTAGGCTTCCAATAATGGGGATTTATTGGAAATGTGCAGTTTATGCAAATCCTACTTCATGCAGTAATAAAGATGGGTTCTTGCATCATGATTGTTGCATCCTTTTTAGGTTAATGTTCCTAATATGACATTCCAAGCATTATAACCCTATGCTTTGCTTCACTTATGGTTTGTTATTACGGTCTCTTCATCCAGCTTTTATATTCAGCTCCTTAATACACATCCTCCCAAACACCTGCTTGTGGTATGTTGGATACTCGCAGTACTCATGAAAAATGGTCGTCTCCGTACTTCCACAAATTGATATGCAACACAAAGTCCATATATTTATGAAATTAAATTTAAAAAAAACCAAAACCCTTGTTGGCTACAATTCTGTTGAAATAGATCCGTGTTTTTGTTTTTAATTTTTTTTTATAAAAGGCTTGTGCATTCATTTTGGCAAGCCAGCAGTGTAATCTTTCCACCCATCAGTTACTGGGGAATAGTCTTGAATGCAATTTTCAGGGCTGCACATGTAGGCTTGTATTAGTGGACACATGAACCTGTGTCCTTCCCCAGCAGACTTTCTCTGTGCCAGCCATACCTCCAATGCTGCAAGTTAAATTGGTTCCGTTAGTGATGTGCCACAAAGATTTTGTGTATGTGTTAAAATTAACAATCTTTTTGCTTTCCAGGTGGAATCGTGCCAAATTGTCTGTGGAACAGAGGAAAGACCGCATTGCTCAGAAGAAAGCCAGCTTCCTCCGAGCTCAGGAGAAAGTTGCTGCAGACAGCTAAACTGGGCACTCTTCTATTTTCTATGGGAGTCTCAATACAAATAAATATATTGACATCTCGTTTTCTGCCTGGGCTTTATTATTCGATCATTAACGGATTTACTGATGAAAGGAGATAATGATTAAAATCCAAATTGTAGTCGCCTTTAATAACTTTCTTAAACATGTGTGGGTGTACCTAAAGAAACTGGACAGGTATGCTTTTCCTGCATGAAAGGCTTGATAGTACATAGATCTACAATCTCGTGCACAAGTACTCTTAAAGATCTGTCCTATATTAACCCCTTAACCAGAGGGCGTACTATTACTCCCTATTCTAAGCGGCTCTAAATGCCGCAGGGCGTAATAGTACACCCTCCGGTTTTGTTTTGTTTTTTTACTTACCCGGTTGGGGAGACTCACCTGGGATCCCAGGGAGTCCCGCACAGCGGATCCGGGCCCCTCTTCCCCTGCCATGTGAGAGTGAGGTCCTTGCGCGGACCTCACAATCACATGGCCGGGTTAGCTGGCTGCTGCATTGCCAGCAGGGGGACTGCCTGTAATGACAGTCCCCCTGCTGGCTGGAAATAAAATTTAAATTAAAATCAGTTTTTTGGGTTTTTCACACACAAATACTAATGCTAACTTTGGCCAGTGTTTGTGACCAAGTGGCTACTAAAAAAGACTGGACATACCCCATTTGCAATACCTTGGGTTGTCTACTATTGCAAATGGTATACCATTATGGGTGTAAATTTCATTCCTGGGCTACTATACAGTCTCAAAGGCAACGTAACCAATCTGGCGAATTTCAATTGTAACGTGCTATATTTGACCCTGTAACGTCCCAAAACACCATAAAACCTGTACGTAGGGGATACTGTTTTACACGTGAGACTTTGTTAAATATAAATGTGTATTTTATTGCAGTAAAAGCAAACTGTATAATGACATTGATAGTTAAAATGTCATGTAGAAATACAAAAATCTTATTTTCTCTTTTTTTCATATTAAATTATGTTTCATAGCTAAATATTTGATTTTAAATGAAAGCCCTGTTCCACTGAATAAAATGATATATAATAAGGGTGGGTGCATTTAATATGAAAGAGGTGAATTACGGTTGGACAGACATGTAGCACAAATGCCAGGTTTTGTTTACGTTTTGTTCACACCGTGTAAATTTGGCTCAGTCCTTAACCCCTTAAGGACCAAACTTCTGGAATAAAATGGAATCATGACATGAACACATGTGTGGTTAAGGGGTTAATCTGCTTTTCAAAACGCTTTGAATTTTAATGACAAACAGGCTCTTGGAGTGGGTGATAAGAAACTCTAAACATCTTTTATAGCACTGTCTAATTTTTTTTTTTATAAATTCTTTATTTTGAGAATTTTAGAGTTGTATACGGGGTACAGAAAAAAGAAAACGGGGAATAGGGAAGCAACAGTTCATAATGTGCAGTATCATCACAAAGACCTCATTCCTAGGCTTTCCCTGTCCCCCGAGTCTGAAATCCCACTGAGCATGTATGGACCGTCGGGGGGGAGCCTGTCCCTTCACCCATAGAGGGAGAGGGTGCAGCAAAAATTGAGCTGCGCCACTGGACCTGCGTAGCCTATGGCCTAAGTCAGTGTTGCAACTGTAGAGTGAGATCGTCGGATACGTAACATATCTGAACCATAAGGGGAAAGCTCAACTGGAGCTAACATGGGAGTTAAGGCCTAACCATGTCTAGACGTGGTGAGAGGAAAAAAAAAAATAGATATGTAGTATGTAGGTCTCTATATGTCAGTGTAATGTCTCTCTTGTTCTGAGTGCTTATAGTCTGTCAGCGTGCGTGTAGGAGGCGTGCATAAGTGGTGGAGCCATGCTCAAAAAACTAGCGGTAAGAGGGTCCGGGGAACCAGGGGCTCCCCCCTGACTTCTCTCCCCCACTTGCCGGCGCTACACTGTGCCCCAGGGGCCCCAGACCCTCCCAACCGATGCAGTCGTCTCATGAACCAGGGCAGATAGTTCATCCATCTCCTTGGACTCCTATTTGCCTTCGTACTTCTGGCAGAGTTGGGATTTCCGCCCTCCCCCAGTGCGCTGCAATGGCCCGCCGTGTCGCGAGGGCTATTTTTGCCACTTATTTATTCTGTGCCCTAGGTAGTGCTTCTAAGGGTTTGGACAGCAGCCATGTCCACGGGTCCAATGGGAGGGCCGTTTGTAAGGCTCTGGAGGCGACGTCAGCAACCGCCTTCCACAATTCGGATATATGCTCGCATTCCCACCACATGTGGAAGTACGTACCCGTACCCTGGGCTCCACAGCCTTTCCAGCAACAGTCAGAGTTCGATTGTCGCATCTGTTTGAGCTTTAGGGGGGTGACATACCATCTAAGCAGGGTTTTATACGCCTGCTCCCTGTGGTTCACACAGATCGTAACTGAAGCCGTGGCCTCCCAAATGTCTGCCCAGTCTGATGGATCGGCCGGTGGGCCCATGTCCCTCTCCCATTCCCTCACGTATGAAAAGGCCTCCGGAGGGGTATCTCTGGCAAAGATATGGTTACTGCATTTACACAGAGTTTAACTCCATGAAATGATGCTGAATGTCCTTAGTCTTTGCATGAGGACTTCCAGCATCTTTAATATCCCCATTGGAAAGTACCGATTCAATCATGTGTAGAAGGACTAATGTTGAGACGCTGCAGCCGAAATAACAATTTCCTCACATTGAATTGGTTATAGTAACTGGAGTCCCCCAGTACTGTACCTCCATTTTAAGCTGTTAACCATTGAATGAGAGTTCCTGGCCTCCCAGCCTCCACTGGAGGTGTAGCTAAGGCAGAGATTTCACACTTCCTCTTAGCCATACTGATTCATATCAGAAATTTGTAGCTGTGATCAACATAAACAGTCAACTAACACTCAGCCAATTACAGCTACTTGTCAGAGGCGGCTCTAGACTTTGAGGCCTTAGGTGAAACTCAAACATGAGGCCCCACTAACAAAAAAGTGTCACACATACATATTGATGCACAGTTTACCTGAGTGTGTCTGACAGAGTATCCTTGTGTGAATGTATGTCTCTGTGAGCATGTTTTTCTGAGACCCTATGTGTATGGGGTAGCTGCTTGAAGTGTATCGGGGGGGATGATGAGAGGTGAAGGGGGTGATGATGAAAGGGAGAGGGAGGTGATGTGAGCAGGAGGGGAGATTGATGTTGAGGGAGGGGGGAGATGTGAGAGAGAACCTACCTTGATTTATTCACTGGTGGTCCGGTGGCCATTACTTCCGGTCTGCAGCTACAACGCTCTGATTGGCCAGTTCTCACGAGACACATGGTCTGCAGCTCTGCTCACTGCGGAGCTGCAGACCAGTGTCTGCGGTGGCTGGCCGTGCAGACAGGAGGGGCCTCGCAAGCCGTCGGGTCCTCAGTCACTGACGGAGGACCCGACACAGTCTGCCCACAGGTGGTTTAGGCAGCCGCCTAAACCACCTAATTAGAGAGCCGCCTCTGCTACTTGTTATGGCTCAGGCTTCTATATCCCCATAAGCCCGAGCAGTGCAGAGGAGCTAGGCTGCTGGGGACTTTCATTTTGCAGTAAAATGGAGGATGATCAGAACAACAGCGCTACAGGACTCCAAACACTTTAAGGGACACTATAGTCACCAGAACAACTACAGCTTATTGAATTTGTCCTGGTGAGTAGAATCATTACCTTCAGGCTTTTTACTGTAAACACTGTCTTTTCAGAGAAAATGCAGTGTTTACATTACAGCCTAGTGATAACTTCACTGGCCACTCCTCAGATGGCTGTTAGAGATCATTCCTGGATCATGGCTGTCTAAAATACATCCAAACATTCAGTGTCTCCTCCCTCTGCATGCAGACACTAAACTTTCCTCATAGAGATTCATTGATTCAATTCATCTCTATGCGGAGATGCTGATTGGCCAGGGCTGTGTTTGAATCATGCTCGCTCTGCCCCTGATCTGCCTCCTTGTCAGTCTCAGTGATTGGATCAAGCTACCACTTCTGATGATGTCATCAGACTGCTTGTTTTCTTTTTTAGGCTGACAGCATGCAGACCTACAGCTTCTGGCTTGAATACAGTAAGATTTTTACTATTTTTATGGAGGCATGAGGGCCCAGGGGGGGCTAGATGGTGGTGTTAACACTATACAAAACATGGATTCCTGACCCTATAATGATCCTTTAACTTCAACAAGATGAAGCCGTTACAATATCCCTTTAACCCCTTAAGGACACATGACATGTGTGACATGTCATGATTCCCCTTTATTCCAGAAGCTTGGTCCTTAAGGGGTTAAGGGACACTATAGTCACCTGAACAACTTTAGCGTAATGAAGCAGTTTTGGTGTATAGAACATGCCCCTGCATCCTCACTGCTCAATCCTCTGCCATTTAGGAGTTAAATCCCTTTGTTTATGAACCCTAGTCACACCTCCCTGCATGTGACTTGCACAGCCTTCCATAAACACTTCCTGTAAAGAAAGCCCTATTTAGGCTTTCTTTATTGCAAGTTCTGTCTAATTGAGATTTTCTTATCCCCTGCTATGTTAATAGCTTGCTAGACCCTGCAAGAGACTCCTGTATGTGATTAAAGTTCAATTTAGAGATTGGGATACAATTATTTAAGGTAAATTACATCTGTTTGAAAGTGAAACCAGTTTTTTTTTCATGCAGGCTCTGTCAATCATAGCCACGGGAGGTGTGGTTAGGGCTGCATAAACAGAAACAAAGTGATTTAACTCCTAAATGACAGTGAATTGAGCAGTGAAATTGCAGGGGAATGATCTATACACTAAAACTGCTTTATTTAGCTAAAGTAATTTAGGTGACTGTAGTGTTCCTTTAATCTTATTTGGATAAAGTCAGGAATTAAGCAAGTGAAGAGTCTTCTATTAGAAAATAAAATATTTCAAGAGGTTACAACCTGAGAGCAAAAAGAGAAAGGGGTGTGGGGTCTCCAGAAATCGAATTTATATTTTAATAGGGCATAGTCACAGTTTATTGGAAGAGGTCCATGTTTGTGTGATCTCTTCCCCGGAGTACTTTGCCCTCTTCAATTCAGGTCTTCTTATAAGTACAGGCTCAGGGTTACATAGCCAGCTTTTCTCGCTGTAGAACTTGAAATCTAACCTGGTGTTTACAAAAGGCAATGTGATTTAAAGGACTTACATTTCATTGAGTAGTTTGTACCATGGTAACAACTCCAGGTTTCTATTTCAGATTCAATTACCGCATAAAAAGCATTTCCAGAAAGATAAAGAAAGGAAATGTCTTTATTGTGAAAGATGCTGATAACAGACATTATGGATTGGGTCGCTCCGTTTTATTACCGCAGCACGATGCCGAAGATTTGTTTCAGATTACAATTGTAAAACTAGATGATTAAATTCCATTCTGAATGGTGGTTTTTCTCCAAATTAATTATAATCTGCTGATTGCAGTGATACCGAACCCTCGGGACCATTTTAATTATTCAATCAATTATTTCTCAGTTTGCTAGCAGAGAATAACGCTGACAGTCATACAGCAAAGTATATTTTGGAACAATGGAAAAAAGAAACCTGGATATTGCAACTGGGAACAGAACTGGCTCATAGCCTTAGCTCCCTCCAAGCTTAACCCCAAAACGTGTGCTCACAGAAGGCCTTGAAAAGGATCTGTACAAAGTGAACGAAGACTGAAACCGTAATCAAACAAAGTCAGAGATGCCGGCAATAAAATGACAAATAAAGACATAAGAATAAGGAGCAAATAGTCAAGGAGGTAGGGATAAAGAACTGCAAAACATGGAATGTATTGAAGAACCACCAGGTAGCGATGGGCCAGAAAGGAGATGTGATATATACAGTATGTGATTTGCAATAGTAGCGTACAGGTTTCTGTAGGACCTAGTAGTAAAGAGGCAGAAAAGTAAGTGAATAAATTCCCTCACTCCCAAAAAGCATGCAGCTGCAACTCCGAAACGAAAAAAGCATGGATATACTGGTTAATCATACTTCTAGCAGTTCAATATGTGCAATAACAGGGTTACC